TTTGAGAGCTGACGGGAATGAGACATTAAAGGAAAAGACAGCATTTAAAAGAGCTATGAGATCAAATAGACCAGGGGAGCCAAATCCAAATCTGGTATTAAGACGTCTGCAGCTTTTGTCTTCCTGTTGCTCCAGTTTCTTAGATGAGAAATTGGAATATTTCCATGGCTGGATATAAAAAGCATATTAGTCGCTGGGAAGTGTAGGAGCCCTTCAGAGATGCAACAAGGCAGATTCTTCTATTCCATATGCAATTGCAGGCAGAGCTGCTTGCTTCCTGGTGAAAATCAGTCTGTGTATTAGAGTAAATCAGTCCATGTTTTTCCCTGTTGTTTGCTGTTTTGCTTTCTTTTAGTAATTTGAGTAACTGGTCACATAAGTGATTTATTCATTTGTCTGTTTCCTTGTTTTCTTTTTTTTTTTTATTTTCTTTTTGCAAGGAGGTTTGTTTGCTTTTGCTGGGGAATGTAGAAGGTTGATACAGAAAGGCTTGAAGACTGCTGAAGAAAATCTTAATTAAACTAACTTAGTAAAGTATGCTGTTGACAGTGTTTCTCATAGATGAAAAAGATTTGAAAGTCAGTGTATTTCAAGCTGGACAGTCACAGAATTATTCTCCCTCTGTATTGTTGAGGTCTTTAATGTGTGATATTCTATCCCACTCTAGTGGCAGCACAGATTACAGGAAGTGTAAATGAACCATTGGTATTTTGTGGTATATATGTTGTTTTCCAAGACACACTCTGCTTCTAGCCTATTTGCTGTAGTATCCGATGTGAAGAAGAAGAATTTTGTTACCCTGCTGAGAAGAGGGCTTAGCATTTGTAGATTCTATTATATTAATAAGTAGTGACTAGGATAAAAATGGATCATTCAAAAAATGCTTTGTTATCTTTTAGTGGTCTTCATGCAAAACTTGGGAGTTGCCTCATAAAAGTCATTATATCACCAGCACTGTAGCACTGAGAGCTTTCCGGAGTTCCTTTACCTGCATGACTCCTTGAAAATGTTACCTTTCTGTAAGTCTCTGTTCTGCAGGAGCTAATTGAATTGGAAAAAGTGAGCTTCTGTAAAAGGAATAGGATAGTTACACCATGAAATATGGACACTTGTTATAAAGTTTGTGAAGTGTCCTGAATCAGGAACGGGACATCAATCAAAGTGAAGTGTTATGCTTAGAACTCTTCTAGTTCATGGGAAAGAATCATACAGCATCGGTGACAGTGTTATTCTGAATTTGTTTACTCTCTTTCAGGCTGAGATAGCCCAACTTCAGGAACAATTAGCTCTTAAAGATGCAGAAATAGAACGCTTACAAAGTCAGCTATCCAGGACCTCATCACATAGCGAAGTGGCAGAAAGAGGTAAGAGGAGGGGAAATAAAATTAAAAATCCAAAACCTACTTTAACTTCACTTTGGTGGCCGCTTGGCTCAGTATTTCAAAGGAATGCAAGGAGATACAAGAATAGACTTACAGATTTTATTTTGGGAGGAAAAATGGTGCAAATATATTTTATCTTCTGGTAGAGGCCTTTAATGTGTGAAATTCCATCCCAGTCCAGAGGCAGCAATAAATTGCAATATGTATCCCAACAGCACTGAAACTTTTTCTGCTGGAATTTTGTTTGTCATTTTAAGAAAATTAGTGTAGTTTAGTGGGAATATATTTTTGTGCATAACTTCAAAATTTCTTTGAAAAGTCTTTACAGTTCCCATTTTTTAAGGAAAAAATACTGTCGCAGAAGTAGCTAAGCGTAATGTTTAAATGTCCAAACATCCTAAAACATAGTCATTGATTCATGTCTTTCCTTTCTTCAAGACTGTATATTATTTAGGCTCCCTCTCCCATGAAAGGTTGGACCAGATAGTATTTCAAGGTCCTTTCCAAGGGCTGTTCTATGACTTTATGATGTTGAAGGTTCTCATTTAAATCTGCACTGTTGGTACAGGTCAATGGCAAATCAGTTTGTTTAGCCTTTGGTCTGAACAGGTCATGTGAAATTGAACTTCAGTTCCTTGAAATATTGACTACCCGGAGCTTCTGTCAGTGGCTGGCTGTGAGCAATATGATATTAGTGACCTTTTCTTCTATAATCCTGCCACCTAGCCATCCAGGAATACTCGTGTGTAGTTTAGCGCAGTGCATCAGCTTAGCTGCACTAACTTCTCTGAAGGGGGTTAACTAATGCTTCCAAAGATGTGACTTTTCAGGTGCTGTGCTGTCCTTCTCTCAGGGCTTACCAAGAATGTCCTCACAGGAGTTAATGCCAATGTGTCTTTTCTAAAAGACTGTGTTTTGATTGTTGCTTATTCCAAAGAAGTGACTTAACACATACTTGGTGCTGATTTCACTCAGCTGCAGCACTTGTGCATGCAGAGAACTGCACGTCTAACTAGAAAATTACTTTGCCTAACAGCAGTGTTTTGTAGAGGAACTCTTCTATTAATAGCATTCTGCATTTTCTATGCGATTGCCAAATGATTTGTGATATTTCAAAGGCAAGAGGCTGGTATGGGAATAAATCAAGAGCTCAGCAACTTTAAACTTCTAGTAGTGTCTCTGTTCCTGTTCAGATTGAAGGTGGGTAAAACTGTCCTTGATTCTAGTGGGGGAAAAAAATCAAACCCTGTACAAATTCTTTAGGCTACATTTAAGAAAACAGCTTAGACTCTGTATGAATGGAAAGAATATGCAACAGTAATAATTCTTCTGGGGGAAAAAATAAAATGCTGAATTACCAGATTTTAAAGTGGTTGTATCAAGTGAAGTTGAAAAATAATGTCAATGTACTTGTAGTATGCTAGAATGCAAATTCTAATTAAATTGCAAAGTTTATCTAATATGTGCTTTTTCTGCATACTTTATTTGACTCTCACCATTTACCATCGTAGAGGAAGTTTATAGGAGAAGGCTAAAAGAAAAACGTAAGCCTTGCAATTCATTCTTGGCTTTATCTCACTGTTCCTTTCACACAAATCATAAGTCGGATGAATTCTGCACCAATAATTCAATGTTTGTTTAGATTTGGCTATCAAATTGTAATACACATGAGGCATTGCTTTCATTGCTTGTGGCAAGCAGACAGCTACTTGCCATGTTTAGTAAGATTTCATTTCAGAAAAAGTAGTTAGAGGTTCAAAAATCAGAAAGTTGGACTTCAAAGGGACTTTGTCAAGGTTAATAGAGCCAAAACTTAGCCTTTGCCTCTTTTAATTTGTATGTATGTACAATCCATATAATATCTGGAAAGATGGCTGAATAAAAATGTTACCATACTTGATGATGATATAAATATTGTAAGTAAAGTTTGCTTCAGTGTGCTTAAAAATACCTTGACAACAGTTCTTTTTGAAGTCTATTATTTATAAAGAGAAATTAGTAGGACTGTGATTTTTAATGGCTTTTTTAAAGTCTTCTAATTGCTTGCCTAGTACCTGCTGGCTTTAGTTTTTGGTTTGGCTGTGTCTGCGCATGTCTTGTGTTACTAAGTGTTCTCTTCTGCAAAGGAAATGTTTGCAAGATTAATTTACATGTTTTAAGACTTAATCATTAATAAGTGTGTATTTTTCACTATAAAATCGCTATAAAAAAAATCTGATAACAGTTTTTACAAATAGCTGAAGTGTGACATTGTATGTTCAACATCAAATCCTAAACCAGTTTTTTAAAGATGCTTTTTAGCAGTATTGGTTTTCTTTCTTCTCCCTGACTTTATGCCTGGCAAATCTGGTTTTTATTGTCTTTTGTGAAACAAGGGGGTCTGGTTTATGTCAAAGCATGAATTCCATGAGTGGCAGCTACAGTAGATACACTATTTCAGGTTCTATCTCCACCATTGACACTCGATTTAGTATAGGTTGGTACTGGAGGACTTGCTATGAATAGTGTGTAGAGAAGAAATGACATATTTAGTTCACAAAGTTAGGATGATTGTGATAATCTTACAAATTTTCAGAGAGTGTGTTTGAATTGATTTGACTGTAACAATCCTGAATAACCTCTCTTGTGACACTAAATTGTGAGGCAATTGAGAGCAATGCATTAGCTTTTGATGTAGATTTTAACTCAGTTATTCATACTGAAATGCTTTAAGAAAATTAAAAAAAAAATACAGATTTTCTTCATATCAAACTAGTTGTTGTTGGTTTTCATTTCCAAGCTTCATGAATATCCTTGAGCTACTTCTCATAAGATGGCAAATATTTTTCTCAGGATATAATTAATTTTCAATCATACTTTATTTGCTTAAATATATAACAGCAAACACTCATCTTTTGCAAAATAAGCTTCAGTGTTTCTTCCTTTTTTTTGTCATTACTTGACTTCAGTAAATACAAGATAATACTATATAGCCTTTTATAAGCAAAACCAGCATGTTTTCATTGTGCAGTGCTTTTAATAGGTCAGCTTTTGAAAAGCCCCAAGTTAAATGTAGTTTAATAGCCACTAACACGATTTGATTACTCACAAAAACATAAGGAGAGTATCAGAAAATATTTATTGTTTACATTAAATGTAGGAAGGATATTTTCCTTTATAACATTTTAAAAACATTTTTAGATCAAGAAGTTCAAAGGTTGAAGATAGGAATGGAATCGTTATTGGCTGCAAATGAAGAAAAGGTGAGAAAGTAATCCTTATTCTACATAATAAGACTGAAATTGTGGTTTTAAATCTCTGAAATGTTCTGAATAACCTTCTTTCTGTAAGTGTGGTGTTGCCCTGATTTTTGGATTATCCCATGAGATTGTGACAGAAGGTTGATTTTTAAACAGAAAGTGTGGCTGACCTTGCTAACCTGGCTGCAGAGCTTGGGAGGCTCATCACATTCCAGAAGTGAGTAGAAAGCCCAGACTGCAATGAGCAGAATCTCCTGGTCTCTGTTGTTAAAAAGATCGTTAAGGTTTGGTCATCTCTGGTACCTCTTCATCTTCCAACCTGATCTGAAATGTATTGATATCCTCAGTCTACATTACGATATTAAAAGAAAATCAAAGTGGTCTTTGAATCAGGCTCAAATTTTGGAAGGGACCTGAATTTAAAGAGACAAGAATAAAAAAAAAAAGATTACTAAAGGACATGAGACATGACATTAAACTTATTTAAATGGTAAATATGGTTTTTGTCTCATTACTTTTTGTCTCTATATGTTGACATCATCAAATAGACAATAACATGCATCCCTAAAAACTTCCTTTAGTAAGTGGGGAACCTGGACAAGGCAATGTTAATTCTGGAGAACATTAATGTGACTCATAGCAGCATTTAGTTCATAAAAAAAATCAAAAAGCCAAAATTTACATCTACAAAATAGAAGACGTGGCAGTGCAGCAGCTCAGTGGCAGCCGTTCACTTAAATACTTGCCAGCTTCCCCACAAGACTTATTTTTTCTAGTGCCCACTTCTCTGCTTCTGTGGCTTTCCTGAACCTTCTTGTGAAAACTTGGGTTTTCTTACTTGCTTGGGTTTGTGTTCAGTGCTTTGTTACCACAGCACTGGGCAAGATTGTCACACAGGACTGGTTTAGATCTGGGGTCAAAGAAACAAGATGAACTCTAGGAGTGCAAACTGCAAAACTGCACACTTTGTGGTGATAGCAAGAACTTCTCATCGGGGACACAGCATAGGATATAGAAATGAGAGATCTAATTAAATTATTATTACCCATCTCTGTGTTGCATCTGCAAAAGGCAAGCACCTTCCCTGCATACATGAACCAGGATGCTCTATACATAATAGGAAAGCGTTAGGTATTGGAGAGAGTGGAGTTGGATAAACGAAGCAGACATTCATGAGACCTCATTTCTTTTATTCTATACAAGTTTGGCTGCCCAAGTTCAAAAACAAGTGTTCAAAACGGGGATAGGTGTAGATGTCAGAATGCAGTACATGTCCTACAAGAGAAGACTGAAGAACGTGAATAGATCGCTTACTAAAACATAAACACAATTTACTTTACAATTACAGGTACCATGCTAGCAAAAAACCAAACACTGCTCACTTCAGGCCATTGAGGTTCAACTCCAGAATATTCCCTTGACTCTTAAAAGTGAAAGCAGATTTCCAAATTATGCTTCTCTAAATGCCTACTTTACTTGTAATGTCAAACTCCTCAGGTTTCCTTATATCCATAATTTCACGTAATCCAGCAAATATTATGTACAATGGCAACTAAAAGCTAAGAAACGTTCTTTATGAGGTATTTGAGAGGCTTGAGCCTGCTTTCTGGAAAATCAGGCCAAAATCACAGGAAGGAATGTGTAGGACAGTGTTTGTGCAGGTCAGAAATGTCAGATTTAAAGTGTGATTTTGTTTAACGCTTTTCACAGGACCGTCGAATAGAAGAGCTGACACTGTTGCTGAGCCAGTACAGGAGAGTCAAAGAGATAATGATTGCAGCTCACGGTAAAATGTCTTGTGAATAATTTCCTGATACCAGGTATTTTTAAAAATGCTATTTGTTGTTGTTTTCAATATATGTGTATAGTAATATTTATATATGTATTGTGTTGGAGTGCTGAGAGAGTAAGTATACAGTCTTTCAGATGGAGAAATAACCACAGCGTGTCTTGAGCAGGTTGGTGTATTACTGCCTGTAGCATGTGGAGATTTCCTTTTTGTTTCCTATGCTGTAGGCAGTACAAAACCAGAAATAGCATCTATAATATGTGGGAGATTTAGTTACAACATTACTATTAGGCAAGACTTCTATGGCTGACTCTTCTGCTCAGCTCTAAGTCATAACCTAAAATCTGTTCTACATCAGTTAATAGTAAATCCCTCCTTGGAGCCAAAATTTGGTGCTATATGTAATTTAAGATTAAGGTCATTAAGGATTCTGATTTGTAAGGAAGGATGACCGAGGAGTTTACTGCTCTGGTTGTACAGCTGTGTGAACTGCTCATCAGTTGGGTCTGAAGACTCTGGTTTAGCTCCTCATGTACCAAAGCAATCTGAAGTCAGCAACTGCTTTTCTTAAAATGCTTCGCTATATACTGCAGTGGGGCAGGAGCTTTGGTGGCAGAACTCCTACATCTGTGTAGTGGCGGCTGGGTGGACAACTGGGGCCATGGTTTTATCAGCTCCTTCATGCAGTCCTTTCCCTCCTCCCTGATGGGACTCCCGTCTCTTCCACAGTGCAGGCCTATGACATATGTCCTTCATGCTCAAAGCTTCCTAATTCCTTTTTCACTGCTTCTGTTTGCTATGCCTTGGTTGTACGTGGGTTGTAGAGGCCAGACCAAAAGGAATTATAGCAAAAAGGGTGAAAAGGAGGGCGAAAACAGCAGGACAGTAAGTGCAGACATAGAATTTGTTGACGCAAGGGCAGTTAGGAAAGTTCATTTAAATTAGCTAAAGGCATGAATTTACAGTATTCTTATTAAATTGCATTATAGTCCTCTCAGTCTATTATTAAAAATTAAAATTCAGTTTAATTTAAATGATTTAATCTGTGGGAGATGAATAAAGTACACAGATAAGTATATATATGGTGTTTCCTGTGATCTGTCATAAGTAACTGCTTTTTACAGTGTAAAATGGTATCAGGAGAATTTAGCAGATTGCAAACATCAATCTATTGAGTACATCCTGTATTTAGATTAACCATAGTTCAGTTCAGGAATGGCAGTAATGATTAATTATGAGCCAGCTACTGTTAATGACAAAGTTTTCCTTTTATGTTATGTTTTTTATATGGCTTTCATAAAAAGGAAGCCGATCTCAGGTGCAATTGGATACACAGGAGGACCTTCCACCCCCCTTTCAAAAAAGACCCAAAAGCTCCAATGAGTATAATAAGTTTTGTTGCGCTTTCTTTCCACTAAGAAAAATTCTGACAGCTGACTGGGAAAGTTCTGGTGTGCAGGAAACAACTGAAAACCCACAGTTGCTTTGGTGAACACAATATTATATATTTAACTTTAAAATCTGAGGAAAAATCTTTATCCCATTTCTCAGTTTTGCTGCAGGAAGTGGAGTGGGTTTTAGGACAATCTTATTTTAAGTTGCCCCTTTAGTTTGTAGTTTTCGGTACTAAATTTATTCTGGGAAGCCTTCAGACAGGACAGTTTTGTTCAACGTACATCATCACATTAACAAACACACTATTTTCAGGTCTTGTACGGCAGAATGGACACTTGTATTTAACACACAAGAACAGGGAACGAGAGTCAGGTAAATCTCTCTCTGAATGTTCTTTTTAAAGAGAAAGTCTCTCACTTGAAAGTGTTCTGAAAGGAAATCCAAAGGTGTGATTGTAGCTTTTGGAGACGTCATGATGCTAACCCCCAAGATAACTGCACCACTGTTACCCTGAGAGTAAGTGCTCTCAGCAGAAAACCCAAGTAACTTCATGGGACGTGGTTTTGGAGGACACTTGTGTGCATGAGCAAAGAGCAAGCCATGGTGCTCTGGATTATCGAGTTGGTACTGCAGGGAGTATGATGGTGTTAATGTACCTGTGTAGGTACTAGAGTGTGTGTGAGACTGTCCACACTGAGGTGCATACTGTCATGGCTACAATATCATCACAGCCCAAATGAGGTTGTTATCTGACAACTGCTTGAGGGAGTCTTGTATTCAGGGTGCCAAGAAATATCTCCCTTGGTTATTTTTTTATTATTATTATTTCTAGAGGTGTATTTTAAAGGTTCCTTTTGATGTGTAATCTCTGCCTAAAACCTTTGGTAGATACAGAGGGTTGAAATCTTTTGTCTCTGATAACTGTTTCAAATAATTATTTGGGATTAAAATAGGGTGGCTGCTTGAAACAGCCACAGAAAGTTGAGCAAAATATGAAGAAGTTACCCTGAACTTGACTATAGGTTGCTCTCCTGCGTACCAGCAACCATGGTGTAAGTTTCACTCCGTATCCTGGAGGGCCAGTGGTCAGTAGGGGGTTTGTTGCCAGTCTTCTTAGCCGAACAGCCTGATATCCAAGCTGATCTCTAATGAGCTTTCAAAAGCCCTAATGAGTTTTCAAGTGATCTCTCTTCTAATAGTGCCAAGGCTTAACCATAAGATTTGGTGGTTATTTGAAACTGCCTAGACCTGCTGCACCTCTATCATATAAATTAGGAATTATTAATGGGCGTAAGGGTCAGTCTAAATTCCTCCATCGTGGCATAGGATTCCTTCCACATCCTGTTTGCAACCCTGTGCATGGGAGATCTCCAGAAAAAAATTCTTACCCAAAATACTCCAAAACCTTGCTGAGCACTGAATATTCAGAACCTGATTTACCGTTGCAGCTTTGCCAATTTAGGAATTAAAGTCCTACTAAATAATGAATTCGGAGTATTTCAGTGTCTGTTTTGATCTGGGATATCCGGAAAAACCCGAGGCATGTTCATCCTTGAACTGAGCATGGGGCACTGCGTTATGGTACAGACATGCACACTACCTATAAAGCAATACACTGTGACTAAGAAAACGGTACCAACTTGAACTTGCCTCAGAACATCAAACTGTGTATTAGTGGTTCAGAAGCTGCCTCACAAGCAGCTCAGCTACTCACAGCAGAACACATCATATGACTAGAAGTGGCACATTTGTTGCTCTAACGTAAATCAGCTTGCTTGTAAGTCAGGGGTGGGGAGTGGAGAGGCTGGAAAACTACAAGCATCAGGTGAAGGCTGAAGGGGAATTGAGAGACTGAAGTGTTTAGACTGTCTGATATGGTCCTAAATGTTATTTTTTGGCCTGTTTTTCTCCCTTTCTACTTTTCATCTTTAATGCTGGCAGGCTCTTCTGTCTCTGGGGGCAGTGAAGAGGAACTTGAGACAACTTTAAGGAAGTGGAATCTTTTGACTAATCCTCAAGGAGAATTATTGAAAACAGAGGTACTTAGTAAAGATGTTTTAGAAGCAAGTTTTTTATATGTATGATTTGTTTGTATTGGTTTCTCTGTGGTAGCTGAAGTAATGTAGCAATGTGGGTTTAGCCTCGGCTGAATTCTTGTATATATTCTTGGTATAGGCATGATAGATCTAGAATCCAGCACTAGAGTTACAGGCTTTAATCTCTTGTTTTATTTTACATAGGCCTCTTCAGGAGAATTGTCACCAGCTGTGCTCTCTCCGTCGCCTCACAAAGCCATGGAAATCAGGCAAGATCTTTGGTTTTTGTGTTTCATGTGGATTGTCCTAAATCTGCATTATTTAATCTGTTTAAGTGCTGGTACGTTGTCTTCCCTGTTCTTGGCTTTGCAAGAACTTTTGGGTAGTTGTGAAAGCAGGGTTTTCCATGGGAGTTTGTGATACTTAATTGTATAAGGTCTGAATTGCAGGAATAAATAAGCACTTTTATATATCAGAAGATACTTGTATTGTAGTACTTAAACCAGTATCTTTTATTCTGATTTAAAGTGGAAGCGTTCCAGTATCTTCAACTAATTTAACCTCTCCCCCAGAAGAATCTCTGGAAATCATCAGTAGGTAAGAATGAGTAACTTTAACATGCAGCCAGAATTTTTTCCATGTATTTCTGCCCTTTTCCAGTTTCAAACCCCCTCAGTGTTGCACACTGTTCACAGAGTTACTCCTGTCTGTCCTCTGTTAAGAGCCTCTAAAAAGTCACCTGTAGATAAAAGGTTTAAAACTGCACATTGTGTCCTGTTGCCTTTCTCTGCTGATCGAAGGATGTCTTGTTGCTGTTTCTGACTTTGTCTATCGCAGTTCCCAATAACATGTGTTTTAGGCTAAAAATGTGACAATGAATCTCCTTTATTACATTACACGTGGACATGCGATGTGTACGGCTGTTGTAAGTTACAGCTGGGGCATATGCCAACATCCTGTGTCGTACCAACTGCTGCTCTTTTTGCATGTTGTTGTTTTAAGGGCTCCCCAGAAAAAAAAGTCAAGTAGTTTGGAAGACCTGCAGAGCGAAGCCCTGGAAAAGGTTGGTTGATTTGCAGTCACAATTTCTGGTGTTTATAATCGTTACTAAAAGGTAAAGGTCAAGTATCAGTATTGGTTTTGTCTCACGTATAGGAGCCCTAACCACCACCGACACTGTATGTGGGGGGAGGGAAAAGCCCGCATGATAGAACAGTTCAGGTTCCTTTTTGGTTTTACCCCATTGCCAAGCTTAGAATAAACAACGGAGCTGACACACCATACATACACATCCTCAAATCCAGCTTTTCCCTGAAGGAAAAGGCAAATATTTAAGAGAAATACAGGAAATAATGTCAGTGAGGAGTCGTTTGGTTGGACTGCAGTAGTATTTTGTTTATAGGTAAGAGTTTTTAAAATAATTGCAACTTCCAAATAGTTAAACGTGTTAAGGCAACAAATCCTGAAAGGATTTTAAAGATTGGGACTGGGTATTTCCACACAGGATTCCTTTTTGAGTGTTTGCATGTAAATATGGAGTATCATTCCTTAACTCAGACTTCTGATACAAATGGCATTC